TAGTACATGAAATACACAAAAGTCAACCTTTAACTCATATACTTGAAGGTGGAACATCGACCACGTCCTGAAAACCCAGAACGCTGGGAACATATCCGCTTTTAATGGCTAAACTTATTTCTTTTTTCTGTCATATCCAGTGAGTAGAGATTAATGGAGTAAGCTATTTACGATGTTTTGTCTAATATTTTTTCCGTCTTCTCATAACAAAACTCCTGCAACCACTTTTCTTATTTTTAAGTTCATACATATCATCATTTAATGCATATATATTTAGGGATTTGTTAATTTTATTATATAATCTTGAACTTTGTGTTATTAATTGTCAACGAGTGAAGGCAGTGAGGAATCGTTAGACATCACAGATAGGGAATCCTTGTCTTCTGCTAAGCGAGATGGGGTCGAGGGAAAGATTTGTACGACGGCGTAACACACATTTTAGTATATATAATTGCATCACTTTGAGAACCCCGGGTCTCTAGGCTTAAATAAGATGGTCTTCAACACCACTCTTTACACGTTCAAGTGCCAATAGACGAGTCCCCAAACTGGGATACAATAAAATATTATTGATTCGCACAAGCTGCGGTACACCAAAAGAAGCGTATCCGAGTTGACGCAGTGTCGCAGATTTTTGGAAACATAAATCAATTTTCTCACTCTTCCGCAAATATTATCAATTTCATGAATATTATGAAATTGCCCCAGTTAACTTTATCGTCGATTGTAATCCCCAGATTCCGAGCTTGACGGAGGATTGGAATTTGAAACATTGAAACGAAGGTAAGTAGTTTTTTTTTACATTGAGAGTGAGCAAATTTTTAGAAAGCCACACCATATCACAAGGCTCAAGGAAGCTTCTGCCCGCATTTTTGCCCTTTCCCAGTCCAAATCATAAACTAATGGCGCTGTATCGTCTGCATAAGTGAAGATTTCACAGTCTTCCAGGTTTAGCGAACACAGATCATTTATGTAGACCAGGAAAAGGGTGCTAATATGGGCCTATATATAAGGGCCTAATATGCTACCCTGTGGTATGCCAGATCTCGGTGGTTGAATCCTGATGCCATGGGTACGTCCGGATAGGTAATCTCGGAAAAGATCCAGAGCAATCCCACGTACACCAATTTTTTTCAGTTTTGTAATAAGGATAGGGACAGAGACAGTATCAAAGGCTTTAGGTATGTCCAGGAGTATTCCGTAGCAGTTGTGTTTATTATCCAATTTATTTATTAATGAACCCGTAAAATCAGCAACGGCGTCCTCCGTAGATACACAGGTTTTTGGCAATGACATAGTATTTATTAAGGTAATCTATTAAGTAATTATTTAAGACGCGCTCAAGTATTTTAGACGCTTAGTACAAAAATTGGAATATAATTAGATATTCTGTCTCTGTCACCACTGTTTAAGATTGGATGCACGATTGCCCTTTTAAGTGCACTCAGAAATACGCCACAGTTAATAGTCGGAAATAGGTAAGGTGGTACTTCCCTGGACGAACTCTTGTTGTTATTGTTTTAATCTTTTAGTGTGCAGATGAAAACGTATTAGTTCAAAATACTTTACGATAAAAGTTTGCATTTGCCGGTCGACAACGACAAATGTTGCTCATGGTGTAGGCACTCAACACATTAGACTACGCCAAAATAGAATAGAATAGAAAAATATTTATTCACGACTTACAACACAACATAAACACGTGTAAATTTAGAAAGAAAGAAAATAATTTTAATAATCAAATTAAAGTTAAAATTAAAATTAAGAGTTAAAAGTACGTAGGAAATAAAATAACATTAAAAAGGAAATATAAATAGTAAAAAAAAATTAATGCAAAAAAACAATGTGTGCTACCATGAAAAGGCTGAGACTCAGAGTAATGCCAGTCTGGAGACTGGCGCTAATATTCCTCGTAGATTCCGGCGTCGATTGGATCCCAAAATGACATTTCCGTTTCTTCTACACATGATACCATACGCAAAATATAGTGGACAATGTAATAGAAACGTTCTAATTTATATAAGGGATAATTGTATTGTAAATGTGCACTTTTTTAATAAACGTAATTTTTTTATGTTTCATATATATATTAAATGTTCCATGTATATTACTTATCTACGGATAAATTCTAAATGAACTGCATTCAAGGTGACACTGTCATTATGTTTAAGCATACTAAATTAATATATGGTATTTAAAAATAGTATATATCTTTTGATATTGATCTCCTAATAAATCTTGGTTGCGTCCTCCATTCAGTATGTTAGGTTAGGTATATGAAAAAGCAGAAGCCAATTTGCTTACGTTTCTGAACATGTTTTCAGGACAAGTTATATAATAATTAATATAATATTAGTATAGAAAAATAATCAACATTTATTGGATCCCAAATTTTTCCCAAATGTACTTAGTTTTAAAAATAAGTAACTAAATTTTATTTTTAATGAAAAATCTATCAAAGTAAATCTATACACATAAATTTTTTTTTGCGTTCAGAGCAAAAGTTTTTTTTTGAGTTCAGAACAGATTAAAATATCCATTTGATTTAATTTGTTTTATGTCTCAGAGAAAGAAGATCAATCATTAAAACAGATGACCGTTTAGATTTTTTGTCTGTTGCTTTTGCAAATTTAAAATGATAAGCGTTATGTCAATGTGTCACATAATCGATGCTTATTTTTAAATTATTATCGTGATGCTTATTTCATTGAATACTCCATGCTATTCACATATTTTTTTGTGAAAATACTTCACTAGTTTTATTATTTTTATTAATAAAAAGTTCCTTCGGTCTGACAGAACACTAACCTCCGTTTGTGCCATACCGGGCGATAGATCGAAGGAATTTTTCATTGTGTTCGAACTTTGCATTTAATAATTATATCATGTATATGTATGTCGTCGGGGATAGTGCAAAGCCGCGTAAGTAGCTTAAAAGGCGCGTATTTACACGAATCCAAATTTTACAGGAGATGGTTAATTGACCAACAAAGTATGAACGTTTTCTTAGTATGGACATGCCAATCTCGTCATCAATTAATTTTTTTTAGTGTTTATTTTCTCAACATTCCAAAACGTGGTCTGTCTCATGTTTATTTTTTAAATTGCTAGTGTTTAAATACGTAAGTGCCTATAGCACCACAACTACAATATTAATTTTACTTATTAGGAAATAATATTTTTTTTAAAAGAGCAATCCCTAGAGTTTCTTGCTCATTCTTCTCCGGGAAGTCAGCATAGTGAACGAAAATAAGCTTAAAAATTACGTTTTTAAGGGTAAATTTATTTTACTTATGGAATGAGTGATTCTTTGATTTTGACTCTCTTACGCCCTCATCCAATATTGCCTTCTACGTTGACTTTATAGACCTCTTTTGATGCTCTACTTTTGTTTATCCGCTCCTTGTTCCCTAACCACCTTAAATACCTTCCTATAGGAAATGAATCAATTTTTTTCATCTAAATCACGTATATTTGTTTTTCAAACTAACCAATAATTTGACTGGACTCGAACCAGCATCTTCGCTCTTATTAACAGACCGAGTTGAAGGTATTGTTTTTATCGCATTTTTATTAGTAAAATTAGGCGTTGCAAATGAATTGTTTTACATACCAAAACCGAACAATACAAATTTTAACAAATATGCATTGACTAGTTACGTTAAAAAGCACATGCGCATTAGTCCTGCGCACGCGCTTTACTGATAGCGACATTGTGTTTCGTAACTGGAGCGGAAAGGAAAATTATACCGCCATGGTTTATCATAATCAGTAGTCGTATTGTACGGTGACAACAAGGTTATAGTTCTTATTTGTTACCCAACTTACTAAAAATAGGGTTCTAAAATCTGACTGTCAACCGTGACCACGGGACCTGTAAAGGACCCGAAACGTTGGTTTGTTTCAAACAAACATAAAAAATCATTTCCTATGTACAACAATTGCGAAAACCTAAGAACTCGATATGTACTTTTTGTTATAACACCAAGTAACGGGATGAACAAGTCGTGCACCTGGTATTAGGCGACACGCCAGTCCGTGCCGTTCAGAGCTTCATCAATTTTTTGGATCGTAATGGTTCATACGCTACGTACTGAATCGATCCACAGGTCGGATCGTATGTTCTTAAATCGATCTCATAAAAATCCTTTCAAAATCAATTCCGAACAAAAAAATGTTTACAGCCTTTTTGGCGTCAGTCGGTTACGATGGCACAGAAGTAACGACAATCGCCAAATATTGTAGACTTATTGTACTTAGATGTTGCCAAACTGCTTTTCTTGCCGGTCAATATAAAATAGGGGTTCAAAAATAGACTGTTTGTTTAAATTATGAATACGATCTAGACGATTCGATTCGCCTTAATGTTGAACTTGAACCGATCTTCATGAAAATCGAATCGTAATGTACATCCCTAAGTTGTAAAGTCCCATGTGCCGGTGTTACGGAAATCGGAAACAATGACGGTACCACAAACACCAAACCCGAGACCCAGCCGGGGATCGCACCACTAGACCACGAAGGCCGTCAGCACTTACCCGTGGCTAAAGGAAATATTTAGTAGAAAGAAAGAAAGGCGCTTGTTTGTGTGCCAATTGACACTATAGAAAAAAACAAAACTAAAAATGAGAAAAAGTAAAAAGGAAAACAAAAGAAGAAAAAATAAAATAAAAGTAAGATTATTTACAAAAACAAAGCAATGTCTCCTCTCTTTCAGTACGTCTTATAACAAACTTCATATGCTACAAAACATTTTCCGTTCTATATACTATAGAATACCACTAAGTTGAAGAACAAAGTCCTTGGGGCGCTTTCAAATTAGACGCTTATAGAAGCACTGCAGTAGCGCCACTGTGGCGTTCATATAATATTTAGAAGCGCAGTTGTAGCGCCACTGTCATGACTCGCGCGCGCCACTTTTGCAGTCGCAATTAGTGAACTATAAATTACTATAGCGCTACAGACGCGCGGCTAACATAAATAATAAATAATTCGCTTACCTGTTATGACTCCCAGGCTACAAAGTCTTGTCGAATATCATCAACACCTGGAAAAATACAAAAGGATATTTAAAGCATATTAAAAAAATCAAAATAACTGTTAGCGTTATTTTTTTGTAACACCTTTGTTAAAGTACATAGAATATAAAAAAAAAATTCTACTCCTGTACTTCTTCTACTTGTCTGTCAATTATAATTTCATAAACCACATCATGAAGATATTCTTTTTAGTTCTGAATCAAAATTATATTGTCTATAGTACTCGCCACTGAGCTAAAAAATTCAAGTTCAGAACTAAAGTGAGTTTCAAAAAAAGATCGTCGTATTTTTGCTAATTCAAATATCAATTAGGACGCTACTCAAACGCTATACTGCCTCCTGATTGGTTATATTGTCCTAAAAGTCTTGCGCCATAAATGTATATAAAAAAATTATTGGTTAAAATATGTACTTAGCCAGTTCTATTCCGTCTCCTTGGTTTTGTTTTGTACCGTTTGCTTGGCCTTCGTCTAAACATATGAAGAGGCTGTATGATGTAACTTTTGCCTACCCTAATAAATGGGTTAAAATGGGTACCTATATACTAAATCTAAGGCTAAAATTTATTAAAAAAATTGCGTTTGTTGCTATGGATTGTTAATAAAATATACATTACTTAACCTATATGGTTGTGTTTCATAATTTTATTTACTCGTAGAAAAAGTATTGTATAATTAGGTTTTTTCATTGTCATTATATAATTAGGTCTTAAAATCTCGTACTTATTACTTAGGCCACGAGGCATAGCCCTCAACCCTCAATAAGCAATGATTGCATAAAATGCTATTTCGCAACCTGGTGTAATAAGGCCATATCTGCGAAACTTACTTATCAAGAGAAAAAATTAAAAATTCTACGCACGAAATTAGTCGACAACTTTTTTATGCTTAAAAATGAAAGTTATAAAATTTAACATAAATCTGTTTCATATAGTTTTTATTACTTCATGACTCGTGTAATAATTTCTTAAAAGCAAAAACATCTAGCTTTTATGATATCAAGCGACGGGACAAACAATTCATTCGCCTAGTGGTAAGCCACACGACTGTCCATAGCAGATATAAAGCCACTGTGAGCTTTAAGTGGCAAATATCTGAGGGGCACTACCATTGCAGGGCAGTGAAGAAGAACAAGAAGAAGTCCACCAGCCGTAACCAATGTGGCACAACACCGACAGAACCGAACCTGCTGCGTCCGCCATACCGACGATGCTGCTGTACCTGTCGCGACTGCATTACTCCACGAAGTCTAAGGAGATACTGTATACATCAGATATAAAGCCAAATACACTCTGAGGGTCAAGCGGTTGGAGTCCCGCCATAAAGTGAACTTCTATTCGTTTGTGGTGTGAATACCGACCGAACATCTATCGACCTTCATGAAAGAAGAAAGTGCAATATATGTAGATTAGTTATTTAGTTTATTTATTGTTATATTATATTGTATGTATGTTAGACCTTAAAGTATATATTACATGGGTCATGTGGCCTGAAATAAATGTCGAAATTAATTAGAATACGAATAGAATACAAAACAAATGGGAATATAAATACGACATTTAAAGGTTACAATTGTTCCACCTAGAACTGAGTACGTAGACCTACTGGCATAATTGATTTCGCCACCACCTTTACTCTCTAAAACCGGAACCCAATAATGTGAGCATTACCTAATGCTTGGCGGCATAAATAGGTAAGGTGGCAGTACTTCCCTGGACGAACTCTTTCACAAGAACATTTACTACCACTAAAATCTCCTAAGGCTCAATTTATACTGCAGCGGGACGGAATAGAAGCGAATTTTTGTAACGATATTGTACATAGCATAATGAACTTTATGTTCAATTGTGGAACGTACAAACTAGATACGAGCCAAAATTTTCCGCGGAATGCGCGAGCATGCATTTCCGCCGCAATATAAATTGAGCCTTAGAGGAGAACCGTGGCCAACTATGGGACATGGTTAGAGTAGGCGCAAACTATTGCCATTTCAGTTATTAGTATTTGAAAACTATATTTGCCGTCTCTTTCACTCTTACAACAATGTATTTTCGAGGCAGCACCTTTCGGACAAACGGACTACGTTTAAATATATATACATTTGTAAATATTATATTATATATGATATATATGTAACACAACTTAGGTATTGCATAAACGTCTTTGCAATTCATATCGTGTGCCTTACTTTCCTCCACTTGTTACGGATTGTTCATCAATACGCTACTTGAATTTAACTTAATAATTGTAAAGTTTCGTAAAGAAAAACTATTTGAAGATTTTTTCTAGTGAATACCGCTCGTCCGAGCACAAGTTACTGAACAAAAAGATTAAAAATAACAATTACAAAAAGTAAAAGTCATTTAATGCGTAATTTAATGTAGTAATTATGACTGACTTAACCGTGAAGGCAAACCTTGTGATGAAACCTGCATGTCGAAGATTGTGTACAAATTTCTTAAAACACTTGAGAAACACCTTAACCCTCACGGAGCTATCTTTTACAACTGGTTGGCGGACTGTGACACTTTCGTTATCAAACAGAACGACTCATCCGAAGAACAAAGTCCGATGTGATTATTAGCAAAAAGACAATAAGTACGTTACGACAATAATTTCGTTATTCACACTAAGACCTACGTAAAAGTGTTTTGAAAATTTATACATCTTATTTCGTTTCGGAAATATAAAATCGTACAACGGTCGATCTGACATCCACAGCGAAGAAGAACGAATGAAATGTACTATGTCCTGAAAACAGGTAGTCCTGCACATAGATCTTTGGTCTACGGATGAGCCAAATAATTAACACCCGTATACTACTTCAAAAATTGCATATATAAGTCAACTGAAACAATTTCTTACAATGAAAAGTTTATTATAGTATAGCCGAATACTTTGACGATAAAATAATTAAATAACAAATGTTTTAGTTTTCTTTTAGTTTTGGATACAATCTGTAATATTAATAAATCTTTGATATTAATGAATGTGAATTGGTATAATTTATCATATTGGGACAGTTGCAATTAGAGATGTTAATGCATGCGTACGTGCTTATGATTTTGTGTGTTAGTATGTAATTTTAAATAACCATATTAAATTAAATTAAACTTCATTATTAAAATATAATATTGTCAAATGTTGTATGAAAATCAGTAGTGGCGCAGGCTACAGCGTTTCTATAAGCGTCTAATTTGAAGACTTCTAATTCAATGAAAACTTCAAGAACGCCTGAACTTCGTATTTGGTGTAACGTTTGCAGTGCAATTCAGAGCTTTAAATCGCAAAGACCTTATGCCCACTGCCACTGCGCCCGTCGCCCCGAGACATAAGTTGACAAGTCCCATGTGCCTGTAATTTCACCAGCACCCTAACACTTCTAAACTAGAACGCAGTAATGTTCACATTACTGCTTGGCGGCTGAAATAGATAAAGTGGCAGTGCTTCCCTGAACGAATTCTTTCACAAGGAGCTCTACTGCAAGTCTCTTTCATTCTTTCTCTCATCTCTATGTTTTTCATCAATGTACAACTTTAGAAAGTAATAGTCCCTTATTAGTAATAAAATGCCATTTGCATTACACTATGGTAACCTTCGTAAATATTCTTATCAAAGAACGTATTTACCTTTCATTTTCATTGTTTGAAGTTCAAGGATACCTACATGAAACTGAAATTATGTTGATAAAATATATAGTTAAACATTGCAAATGTAACTCTACACAGTTGAGATAAGCCTGAAAATTGTGGTATTGCTAATGCAAAGAATAGGGTGACCAGGCGTTTTGTTTTTGTCAGAACTTTTCAAGTTATTTACTGCGTGTCAAGTTTGGCGCGGTATGCGCGGACGCAATAACTACACGCACTTGTGCCTCGCCGACGACGACGGTTACTATGACTTTTTTTAAGGTACTCGTACTACATGAACGGCACGGACGCCTTTTGTGTAAATCTTGCGCCTAGTACATCTTTTGATATTGTTTTTTATCTATTTTTTATTCCAAATCATGGCCACGCCACCGTAACATACACGTCATATCTCACCGCTTGTTTGATCAGCCTAATTAACACATCTTTTAAAATGCGTAGGAGTTTTGGATCATGTTTTAATACTGTCTTTGTTATCAACGTCAAAACAAGTTTGTTTTTGAAATTATTGTTTTACTTACACAGAAGTGACGCTAAACAAATGTTTGGAAAAATATTTTGAAATTCATGATATCCTCTGTTAGGATTCCATTCATTTTATTGGTATAGGTCAGATTTTTTATCTGTAGTTGTTTTTGTAGGTATAGTGTAAAGAATTTTAAGTGCCTCAAGGGACTTGTCATAAGCTCACAAGTCCCTTGAGGTTGCTTTTATTTGATATTTTTATGTCTCAGTGGTAATGCCCCTAATATCTATGCGATTCAATGCTCTAAGTGGCACTGCTAGTGTTATGTATAGGCGTGTCGCTTACCACCTGGCGCACGACTTGTTTGTCCCATCGCTTGGTATTATAAAGAAACTTGATATTTGGTATACTATGAGAATGTTATGACTCATAAATAATTCGAAACATTAAAAAACTGATCGGGTATGCAACCGTTCTTTAGCACATACGCTCGCCCAGGCGACCGAGTTGCCCAAAAGAAAAATGATAAACGCTTTCCCCATTCAACCTAAATATTGCGCATATTCAATAATTATGGGCAATCCAATGAACCCTTAAGACGAGGCGCCGGAGACAGACTGTTTTGATAGATCAAACGGTTTATGTATTTACTATTAAATAATGGGCTTACAAAAAACATATAATACACTTTAGGATATTGTCTAAAGAAAGTGCTAATCATTTACACGATAGGATGTACTTCACCCGATCATATAAAGCTGAAAACAAGCTAGAACAAAAGTCTAGAAGAAATTATTTAAGAATAAAATATCTATAATTTGTCTCTATAGTCTTCATGTACTACAGAGAACCTGCTAAATTTTGATTTTCAACTGAATTCTTGTTGGTTATTA